CCCCTATTTATGGCTGGAAAATATCTGAAGGAGAAATAACCTGTGAATCTGGGGTGGGGTCTATTTGGAGGAATTCTGTCTTTGCTGTCCTCCTCAGCCTTGCACACATGCTCTTGGTCCTTGGGTTCTTCTGTGGGCACTGTCGGCAGAGGGGCGCTGGGAAAACACGGTTCTTCGTCTCTGGGCAGGGGAGGCTCCTAGAGCAGCTGCTGCCCTAACCTCCTGCTGCCTTAACCACTCGGCCCAGGGAAAGGCTTTGGCTACTGTTAACTCCCAGCTAATGGCAGGCCTCCCTTCAGAGGCCTCATCACCTTTCCCCTCCTGTATTAGCAGCTGCCTTGCTTTGTTGAGAGCTTTGCTGGCTCCCCTTAAAGAGGCCCAGAACCCCCTTAGAGATGCTCTAAGGAGGCATAGTCTGCAGGTGTTTTCTTCCTTCAGCCCTGTCAAGGGTGCACTGCCCTGTCTCCCTGCCCGGCACGGTAAAGGATGTTCCCCTACCCAGGTCTCCCAGCTGGGCCAGGCATGCGTGACTGGCTCAAAGGGAGACCAGGATGCAGCTGAAGCTTGTCTCTAAGGACACCTGCTCCTTCTTTACCTTTCCCTGAATTCCTTTCCCCACCCTGCAAAAGTGAGTGCTTTTGCCCGAGAACTAACTCACACTAATGGCCCAGAGAATGTCAATGTTCTGCATTCCCTAGGTACCGGGACGGTGTCAGTTCGCAGGAAAAGCAAACCAACAGGCACCTGAGCCTGCTGGACTCGTTCCATGAAGGTGGAACTCGGGGCTTGCAGCATTTGGGTAGGAGAGTAATTTCAGGGGTAGGGAGTGGGGGTGGGACCCCATTGCAAAATAGGAAACTGCTGTCCTGAGCACTGGGGCAGAGAGAGCCCTGCTGGCTGCCAATTTGCTTCTATCTGCAAAGGCAGGGCCCCACCTGCTGTGTGTGGTTTGGGGCAGAGTCTCCCTGTGGGTGCACAGGATTAGAGCCTCCAGAGGCAGATGGGAGCTAGGGCTGATCTCTGCAATGGTGCCCAGCAAGGGTTTCCAGGGTCCCTAAAAAGCAGAATGAGCACGTAAAATGGGAAGTGTAAGTCATCCTACAAAATTATCAGCCTTGAGCTCAAAAATGTCTACAAAGGCTCATGCTTTTTCTTAAAAATTCATGCGTATTTTGTGATTTATATGCTAATATAGCAACACTTGATTCATATGAAAATGCTTACTTTAAACTACTTATTCTCAAGAGAAAAAAATCTAATTATCAAGTTCTCACTATGTCTCTTTTCTGGCCAGTGTATCTCCCAGCTGCACCTGCTGGGCGCATGCAGACACCCGCTGGAGAAACACAGATGTGGAAATACTCAACAGGCGACCCCCCCCCCCAGGTCTCTTCTCTTTGGGTTCTCTGTACTGGAATCTCCTGGACTTGCAATAGTGGAGGGCATCCTGGCCCCTACATGGACAATCTTCATGGCAGGGAGAGTCTTGCCCTCTTCTCACCCCTCACCTGGCATCCTCTGCTCCCACCTACCCCATTAAAAGCTAAAGCATTGTGCTCAGGAAAGAAGCAACAATCCATCAGAATTAGCCCAGGACACAAATGTAGAGAGTTTTAAGGTCTTACCGCCAGAAGAATTTTTCTGTTGGACTTTAGGATGCCTACGATGCCTAGGACAGATAGGCAGAAGAGGCAGATGCCAACAAACATGCCGATCCAGGCTGCCCCATAGATGTCATCATTGTCAGTGGCTTCAAGCAGAGGGTAGAGGCTGTGTTGGTCGGATACAAAGAAGATGCACTCTGCTGTCAGGGCAATGCCACACATCTAGGGGCAGAGGGATTCTGTCAGGCCAGCAGCCAGGAGAGCATAGTTGGGAAAGGGGTGGAGGGGAGGGCAAGAGAGACTAACTCCATCCCCTGCATAGGCTTTACACAACTAAGGAAATCAAACGGCTCCCTCCATCCTACAAATTGGTTGCATGCCTCCTTCCACATTCTGCTCCATCTTATTGCTCTTTGGGAGAAGACCC